GAGGGCACAAACATGTGAAAGTATGTTAAAAGTTGCCAGCAGTTTGCAGTCAAAAGGAGAGGGCACCCTAGCTGAACTCTTACAGAAGTCAATCACTAATGAACCTTCATTGGATATTTTTATTATCTGCTTGGATGATGAAATAAGAAGGATTTCTAGAAATGACAGATGACTCTTGGGGAAGGCAGACGCTTTGAAGGGCAAGATCTGAATTCAAAACCATCTCAATTTGAAGCTCAGATAGAAACTAACACAATGAAAAGAACTACACTTAGGAGAGCAAAATCAGATGCAGAGGTTACAAGCATGTTTGCTGTGCAGCAAATGCCTAGACATGCATCAGGGGTTTACAGAAACCATGAACTAAATACAAATAACAATGCAATGCTGCTGAAAAATAACTACTTCAGGTGTGATGCTGCTACAGCAGAGTCTCCAGCAGCAGGCACCACAAGGCTGATGGTACCCACCCAGCCCACATTCAATACACCTGGGAATCCTCAGCAGCCTGATGTGGGCTATAAAAAGCAAAGGCAGCTGATAGAGCACTTGGGTTTCTTGAAAGGGGAAATGAGTGCTGATTGTTTTTTTTTCTGTGTAATCTTTGAGGAAAAGGGAAGCTCCACAACACCGACTCCTTGACAATCAAGTTCTGTTTGAGGAAGAAGATTTAAAAATGGATAAAAGGTAAGCCCATTTTGTGATAGAGAAATGTACTGTGATGGAAGTTTGTTATGCAAGGAGGAAAAAGTTAAGTGTAAAGCTTTAAGAATAACTAGAGTGGTCGCCTCCTAGCACCTGATGCTTTCAGAGGCTACTCTTTACATGACCTATTTGTGACAGAGTATCTCTGTAATATATGGGGGATAATTATTCTGCTCTACTTGGTGCTGATGAGTCCTCCAGCTGAAATATTGTCTGCTCTCTGGTAATGAACTGTAAAGTACACAAACTGGAAAGATTCCAGAGGATTGCAAGCAGACCAAGAGACTAGTCTATAGCAAAGGCTGAATACCTATCCTCATCCCTATTAAAGAGAGATGGCTGGGAGCAAGGAATGAAATATCTCAAAATGTTCTTAGAGAGCTGTGACTAAGATACAAATATATTGATTACACATACTGAAGACTTAAATTAGACACTAGGGAATCTTAACTTGAAAGAACAACTAAGCACTCAGGGGGGATATCAAGATAAAACAGAACTGCTGCTAGAGAGTTCCGAATGTATTAGGCAAATACCTAAGCAATCATCTAACTATAGGTAACCATATTTCAAGAGCAAAAGAATAATCCTGAGGCTCCTTTCACCTCTACTTCTGTGTAGTTTAAAGCTTAACATATTTGATACTACTACTTGACTGATTAATACAGTCAGGTACTTAAAAATTCTACCCTCTAACACTCACCTTAAAGATATTCTATGTAAGTAACTTAGATGTAGACTCTCAGTTTAAGTAAAAACACTTGCCTAAAAAACCTGTACTGCTAGATGTGTTGACAAAACAAATGGAAAGCCACTGATGAATCCAAAGACCAATTAACAGGTTGTATTCTTATACTCACAGTGCATCTACTCCAGGTCCTTCACTACAGAGAGACCAAAGCAGCCAGTACTGCACTCCCATAGACTGGGGCCTAGAATCTGAGGGAGTTGGGTTGAAATGACATCAGCTGACCTATATCTTTTTAAATTGCAAACTATATTAAAGTTCAAACTTCCTATTACTCCCCCTAAATGTGAAGATTTAAAAATCAGGTTCTTGCAATAACTCAAAGCATAGGGCTTTGCAAAGGATTTAAGGGAACAAGCAACTCCACTGAATTCCATTTCTGTACTAAAAGTGTTGTCCTGTACTATGTTAAAATCTTACTATCTTAAGTTAAAAGCTACTTGCCCCGCACCAAGATTTTTTCCTAATCCTAAAACTCAAAGCATTAATTGTTAAAGCAAGATGTAACACAAGGGCATAACTTTTATAAATTCAAAACCTGCTAAAATAAACTTAGCAAACACACTGCGTAAGAGGTCAGACTAAAGGATTAAATCCTGTATTTAATTTTCCAAAGCCAGGAATTCATACAGTTGAGTGACAGTCTTTACTCATCAGTAATAGGGCCTACTTTGGCCTTATTAGCAAACAAGCATTGTCCACGATACTGGCCAACAGGCCTGAACCAGCAACAAAAAACTTTACACACTGCAGAAAATGCAGCTGTGAAACCAACTGCCAAAGGCCTTTCTGAAGATCAAGCCTACTTAATGTCAAAAAATACTAGATTAATAGAGAGGTGAGTACAATTACTGACAGTCATTTAGCACAGTGGCTCTGAAATAAAACCTAGCTCAGGAAGCTTCTAAATCATACATGCTCTAGAATATAATACTAAGGAAGGAGATACTTTGTATATGGAGTTGCAGATTCCTCGCTATACTAAAGGCAATGGCCTTTGGCCCCTGAAAATTATGTACTTCTGCTTTGGCAATATGCCACAGAAGTATTAAGTATGCTCTGCATAAAGGTAGCCCAGCACCCTGGACCATATTAACTTCAAAAAATCTATGCTCTGTTTTGTTGTTGTTGTTTATTCCCCCTCTTTCAAATATTCACCTTGAATTCTAAGCCAAATAATCTGAATGTCATCACTTAAATCTGTCCAGTGTCCTTTATTTGGCTCTGAAACAGGCTTATTAATCCTTTGTTTCTTAAGAGATTATGTGACACAGTAATATATTTTGTGCCAAAGCTCTGTTTAAACCACAGATTGGACTGAGCTTATAGTATTCATCTGCAAAGAACTCAGGAAAAGACTGGGATTTTCCTAGAACCAAGAAGCCCAAGTTTAGGACCTCATTTACAGACAATAATTTTTAAGATAATTTTTGAAGGAGTATGTTTAAATACTCTGCATTTCTTGTCTGTTGCTCCAGGTACTTAATTTCAATGAAATAAAAATCTGTGATAGAAGTCAACTAAAATAATTTGAACAGTAGTTTTTAGCAACATGAGAGTATCTGTTGGTGTGACCTTCAACAATATACACCCTTTAGCAGTAAACATAGTATTTATAACTTATTTCCCTTTTTTTAGTAAATTTGAGTTATTTTAGTTCATCAAACATACTTGTGACTTGAACCTACTACTCTGAACAGGTACAAGAAGATTAAAAGATACATTGATATTTAATATAATTTTTTTATGAGTACAAGGGTGCAGAAAACAAGCTCCACAGCCCCATCTGTTGGCTAATTAAGCTCCCAAGAAAGCCACCTAAAAGCCTCCAGCCCACAATGCTGAAGGAGAACCAGCTCGTTTTTTCATACAATTCCAAGTTTCACTGTTGAGCACCAGTAGCGACTTTCACTATCTAGCACATAATAGCTGGGTTTCTAATATGCTGTTTGGTTTTAGTTTACTTGAAATTAGAATGACATCACTCCATGTGCATCATGCTGTTTTTCTGAGCAAGGTTGTGATTGACTTGCTTGCATTTCCATTAATAGGAAATTGGTCTGTAGTGAAACCAGTGCTTAAGATGTGCTCTGTCACAAGCCCAAGCTGAAACCACGTGCTTCTAAAGCCAAGGTCCTGAATGTAATCTTTGTTTTTAGGAAGGCCTTTATCTAGCTGAGACTTTTGTGGCTTGGTAGCAAAGGGGAGAGCTACTGCATGTTTAGATCACAAGTTAAAAAGACCACAAACAGGCAAAATATGTAAAGCAAGATGGAAAGGGAAGTGTCATGACAGGCGATGGATCATGTTGTGTTCCATTTCTTTCATCTCGTCTTTGACAAACTTAAATAGACTGTACACCCATATCATACTGACATGCAAGAAAATAATATAAATCTAAATGACAACATGGCAGATGGACTTTACTGTCAAACTCATTGTTCAAAATAACATTATAGTATTCTACTCCCTGCTATGATACAAATTTATCCAACAGATGTCAAACTGAAGAGAACAGCACTTTGGCATGTAGAAAAGCATGGTATTGCCCTTCTAACTACCTACTCGTAGGTGGTGTTTAACTACTACCTACCTACCTACTTGTGGTGTTTAAAGCCAACAACTGCTGAAAAAATTATTAGCACTAAGTATATAACTAGCCATGTGATGAAGCCTTCTACATATTACTTTAGTAGTAAGGTGCAGCCTTTGGGGACGAACCAGGATTTAATTCATGTTTTAGGAGTACTGCAGAGGTGAGAAAATAGATGCATTTCCAGAGAATCTGTTGACAAATATGGGGAGGAACCAGGATTTAATTGATGTTTTAGGAGTACTGCAGAGGTGAGAAAACAGATGCATTTCCAGAGAATCTGTTGACAAATACAGAACTGATCTTAAAAATGTCTGTTATAGATTAGTATTTTTCCAATTTTTCAATGAGTCACAGAATCCTACAGGTTGGAAGGGACCTTGAAAGATCACCCAGTCCAACCCCCCTGCCAGAGCAGGGTCACCCAGAGCACATCACACAGGAACGTGTCCAGGCGGGTTTTGAATGTCTCCAGTGAAGGAGACTCCACAACCTCTCTGGGTAGCCTGTCCCAGGGCTCTGTCACTCTCACAGTAAAGAAGTTTTCTGATAGTCACATTGAACCTCCTACTTTGGTTGTATTTTTATATACTTACATTTTTTCATACAAGTTTAGTGGAAAGTTCTCAGCTCTTGTATGATCTACAAACTCACACTTTGCTGTTTGGAAAACCTTTGTGAGGGATTTTTCCTACAGTGACAGGATTCTACTCTGGTTTTCAACACAAATGCTGGACCCTCTGAGAAAGCAGTTGCTCTAGCTACCACAGAACAGCAGTAGCATCAGAAGAGCAGCCATCTACCCTGACAAGCAAGAGACTAACGTTCACATTGCAATGACTGTTCTTGAATTACTTGAAATGCCATGTGTGCACTTCATTCAACTCAAGTACAGAATATTACACCACTTTAAAACAAATTATATCAGATATCACACCAAGGCACTTAACTTACCCCTCCCATTGTAATGCCATCAATAAGTGCCACATAGGGCTTCTTGCAAGTGCCTGTAAAAAACATAAAAGGAATCGTAGATTTTTTTTCAAAAGACTGGACCTGTGACTAACTGCATGCATGCCACATTTCCTCAAGTCTTTCCTCAGCAAGAGCAACAGAAAATAAATAGTAAATTAAATTAAACAGCAAAATTTCAATTTAAAATGAAGATACTTCATGCAATTCACAAGTAATTAAAAGAAACACCAGTTACTGACTTACTGCATTCTGAGTGTTGTAGGAGAACATTATACAACCATTAAATGCCAGGTTGCTTGCTGTGTGATCACCTGACAGAGTTGCCACATTTGGCTATTATAAATAGCTCTGTAGGAGACTGGGATACAAAAGATTGCCTTTCACCCCATCCCACACCCAACAGTGTGTACTACGCTCCAGTACTTGACTACAAAGCCAGGTGCATTGGTAGGTTTCAGCCAAAACGTGCCAGTGAACTACTGCAATGCAAACATGTTCTGTCTTGCCAACTCTGTTGCATGTTAAAACCCTGAATATGGCACAGGCAGGTTGAGATGATGATGTCCTGAAATGCCACAATTCTGTCTATCACCTTTGTATGTTGGGGCTTTATGGAGGCATGAAATTAAAGATGTGGTGCTTTTAGTTACCATTTATGGAAAGATGCAGAATTTCACTGGGAATGAAACTGCTGCCTCATTCTCAGTGTTTTCAGATCAGACTTAAAAGTTCAATCGGACTGCTGATATGGATATCCCCTGCAACCATGTTGCTGGCTTTTCTGCAGAAACTACAGATCCTTGTTTAGAAAAAGTACTCTACTAAAAGGCACTTCAAGCCTTCAAATTAGTAGCTAGAAAATGTAATAGAATTCCATTTTTAACTGTGTTCTTAAATTAACATATAAGCTAATGCATGGGCTCTAGATGCTAGTCTTTGAACTAAATTTCTAGAGAAGTATGTACCCTTGCAATATTTTAACAGACCAGAATAGTTAGCTGGAAGGGACCTACAACAATCATCTAGTCCAACTGCCACACAGTGCAAATTTTTCCCAAGTACATGAGACATTAAAACTGTTTTTTCTTGACGAAGGCAAGAAGTGTACATGATAAACATACTAAAACCGGAAACTCTGTCCAATAATGTAAAAACAACTTTGCAGAAATTACTCTCCATAATCTTTTGTCAACCTAAGTTGATATGCAACATTTTCACCTCTCCTCCTATTAATACCGGATAAAATATTTAAAAACCTCACACTGTATTCAATTAAGGTAGGTTTAGAGAAGTTTATTTTCACCAAAACATTCAATTCTTGACTTTCACACTAAAGCATTAATATCCTTCCTTAATATCCTTTACCCAGTGTCTTTGTTGTTAGATTCTTTAAGAACACACACTCCTAGGTTCTTTGCAATTAACTAAGGCAGTTAACTCCCAGCTTGAATATTCATTTATGCACTTTATTTAAACAGAAAGCTTTAATATAATTTGATCTGCTTTCTGACTCAATATTTATGATTTTCTGAGCATCTATTTCTATCTCAGGTCTTCTCTGAAGTATATCAATGATACTTGCTGCAGAACTGCAGTGTCTGTAACTAAAACATCCATAGTGGACAGGTAACTACCCAGAACAATGGGATGGGATAAGGAAGCTGTCATATTAGCTTAAACAAAAGAAACAAATCCTGAATGCAAGGTATAAAAATATTGAAGACTACTGCTATTGAACTTGGTAAAAAAATATTACTATTATGTTATCATAGTCTTTTATAGACTAACAAAGAGAGAAATTTACATTCAAAGCCACTATTATGAAAACTGTACTGCTTCACAATTTGCTATTAAACATACCAATGGCATTGTTCAGGGTATATTCTCCTCTGAAGAAATCTTGTGCCAGTCTGTCTCCAACTTTTCCTGCATCTGTGATGGCTTAAGAGAAATAAAAATTTTACAGATAACTGTAAGTTTAATAGAAAATACAGTAACATGTTATCACATGATAACAGTTTTTTTTCCTTCAGTAATCAAACAGCAACTTCATCCTGCTCTCAAATTCAAGTCAATTCTATTATGCTGGAGACTTTGTGTGCTATATTCTTGTGAAAGTGCTGTGCATTTTCTGTATTATGGAACCCCTTCTTATGTCTCGTAATCTTGTTTGTGATATTTCATACAAATATATAAAACAGGCATTTAAAACTGTTTATACTGAAGACTCTGAATACTAAAAATGATAAGTCAATTAAAGCAAAGCATAATTTAACAATAACCTGTGCTGCTTGTTCACCTAAAATTTAAAACAACTGCTAACTTTTGGTTTGTAGACTTCCTACATTTTGTAGTTACAAAGCAATCACAGATACATTGATCACCATTGTCAGCTCTCTATCTAGCCAGCTCTAATTCAAACATCACACACAAATTATCCAGTAGTAACAGACCTACCACCTTTCAAATTTCTTGTAAAGAAGCTGTCAGTCATGAAAATCTCAGAGGAAGGTGACAGAGACAAGAACTCTCTCTTCCCAGGAATGACTGCCTGCTATTACCAGTTATTAATAAAACCAAATTCTTACTCTTTTATATAATGATCCAAAAGCTGTCTCCTGAGAAACAAATAGCATCTACACACCAAGGTGTTAGAAGAAGTCAGCATAACTAATCTCTTGCTGTTGTGTAGCAACCCTCTGTTTACCCCAGTCACAGTAAATAAAGGAAATCAATGCAAAAGATATGCCAAATGTTAACTTGACTACAGCCCTTACCTCTGATGTCACCCCCAGCACAAAAAGCTTTTCCTCCAGTTCCTTTTATAATTATTAGAAAAGTTTCAGGATCTTGCTCCCAAGTCTAAAGAGAAGGAAATGTTTCCAGGTAAGATTAAAGCCTGTGCAAAAAATGCTTTCTCTGTATACTGCCTATAATTCTTCTCTTGCTTTTTGAAAAAGCAAAATAAACCATACTTAAAGGAGTTTGTCTTAAGCTGAAATTGGAAAAACAAATGTCTGGCTGCTTCTCCTGCATGGTACTTAGTCTTGACATCAGAGATCAGCAGACCTGCTTTGCGTATTTCAGAAAAATGTCTATGCAGAGCTCCTGACCTCTGAAGAAAGGCAGCACTCACTCCCTGAAACAGGGCCTGACTTAAATCTCAATGGGAACACAATAGTGGGGCAGAAAGCTGGGAATATGGAAGATATAACAACAGTGCTTCAGGCCAAATAATGAAAGTTGCATAAACCTAAGATGCGTGGCAAGCAAAACAGCATTTAAGTTGTTGATGGATTTTGTTAAAATGACTGCAATTGATGCTCATTGAAGACTGGATCAAATCAATTTTGTGTCCAGATGTTTTTCTAGCTACAAAGGCTATGGAGGGGTGTGTTCTGAATTAAATACACTGTTACAAAATTTCAGCAGTGGTGCAACCATATTGAGAAAAAGAGGCCTTCTCTAGGCTTCCTTCCCCTCCTTAAACTATGCTTATATATCCCTTTTTTAAGTAAGTGTACCAGATAAAAGAGAGACAAGACATTTCTGTATACTAGCAACTGTACTTAAAATTATACCACCTTATAAGATTGTGCTTCAAAGAAAGCCTGGTACTCAGCACTACAGATTAAGTACTTCTTTTTTCTTTAAATGTTCTTCAAAGAATGCATGGCTTTGCAGCACAATAGTCAATGAAAATACCAAAAAACAAGCAACTATCCATCAAATACTGGTATCGAATAAGTTTGACCTTTTGCACATGATAAATAATATAATTAAATCAAAAAGGACTGTTTGCCTAAATTTAGGCACATTACTTCACTACTTTGTAGAAATAGTGCTTCTAAATCCATCACGATCTTCACAAGGAATGACACTGACAGCACCTTGCTTCCTCATGATTTCTATTTTTTATTTCAGCCAGGCAGCCTCTCCACAGAATGTACCAAATCAAGAGACACCACCACTGGATAGGCTGGAATTGGTGTCTGCTGACTGACCAGCTGGCTGTGGCCAAAACGAAGGTAGGAACTCTGAGCACTTTTAATTCAGTCCTGGGTTTAATATGGGTGTCTCTTATGTATCCAGATGCTAAATTTAAATTTGTCTGGCAGCTTTTTTCTTAGAAATAGGAGAAAACACATTAAACTTGCTTGAAACTGTTTGTTCTTTCCCTGTGTACAAAACTGAGCTCATTGGCCAATGTACCCATAATGACTTTCATTCTTTAAATCAGTACACTAAGAAGTGTCAGACCAAAGTTTAAAATCGCTTTCTGATAAGGTATGTATAGTAGATGGGTAGAAGCAGAGCTACTAACCTTTATCTGTGGATAAATTTGTTGGATCATAGAAAGATTTAGTGCATTGAGAGCCTTGGGTCTATTCAAAGTTATTATTCCCGCACCTCCTTTCTTTTCCAACAACACTTCACCTGTCAAATCTGTATGCTTAGACATCTTCTGTAAATGCAAAAACAAATAAAGCCAATGTAGTCAGCTAGACACCTTGAGTAATATAGTTACAAGAGTGTTTAGGGAAATATACTTGAAAACACACTATTTTAAGATCATAAAACAAGCATTTTGAGATTTATTTGCATTCCCTAAATAGCTCTTTTGAAATCACTTTGAGTCCCTCAGAGTTACAACCCTCAGGCAAGTTTTTGAGCCACTTTGACAAGAACATCCGAGATAATTTAAAAATAAAACAAAACACAAACACATGTTTAAGATTTGGTATTCCGAAAATGCTTGCAAGTGTTTTTTTAAGATTTGGTATTCCGAAAATGCTTGCAACAGTAACAGTTCCAGGGGTCCCTACTTGCAGTTTCACACTGCAAAACCAAATGTGCACATTTGTCTGTAAGTAACTTTTAACAGTAAGAGAACAAATCACTAAACAATTTCCACAATAGATTTCAAACTCACTATTGAATTATACTTAAGGAATATATGGAAACCAAGTTAGAAATTAACTGTAAGAGTAGGCAAGGCCAAAATAATGTAACTTGCAGTATAACAGAAACATGTAACAAAATGTTTAAAGATCAACATCATGACTGAGCAATAAATTATTCAGAACCACTGCGAGCAGACACAGTAATAGTTGCATATACTGTTTGCCTCAGGAGTCCTAAAAACTTCCAAGTCAGTCAAAACAAAATGCTGTTCTTACCAAATGTTGCAATATCACTTGCAGCCTGTTCAATGGCTTCAGCCTGAAAGAGAAATATTTAAAAGACAGCTAAAACCATAAGCCAGCCATATAACCCGCAAACACGACTGCTGAGCTGAGCAAACCTTTGTGAGAAAAATTTCTGAACACAACGGATTTACATTCTCTTTTTGAAAATTAAGTAAAATTAGAGCACAATCATCCTATCAAAACAGTTGGAAACTTCTTTGCTCACTAGTAAACAGCAGGTAACAGCGAAAACTACCAACGTCTTTCTATGTGTTCAATTTCAGTTTAGGAGAACCTGGAAATAACACAAATAATTTCGGGGATATGTTTTGCACTTAGCAGTGTGTGTGATGTAAACGCTTACAGCCTGTGTCTGGGCATTTAAGAGCAAACAAAAATCTTGCCAAACACTGGTGTATTCCCAAAGCCTCCACGGCACCAGGCCTGCCCTCCCGCCCCTGTACGTCTCCGCAGTTAGGAAGGTTTGCGTACCAGCTGGAACCGGGCTGACACGTTTTGGGAACACATCGGCCCATTTAACTAATGAGGCGGTTAAATATTAGTGTGCTCTGCTCAGGAAGGCAGGGAACAACGGCCCTTGCCGGGCTTCAAACACCTCAGCACTGAAAGACAAACCGCACCTTCCAGGTGCGCCGCAGCGCAGACACCGCACTGCACTCCTGGCGGCCCAGGAGGGGGTTTTCACGCTCGTTTGGGAGCGGGAAAGCGAACCCAGGCCTAAATTCCATTTTACACCAGCT